CAGTTACTGATGCTTTTTACGTGTGATCTTTAAATTGTTACACGATTTCAAATCGCAATATTTTAAACTACAGTAGTATTGTAAGCTAACTGGCGCGGAGGCGTGCGGCTAATTACGCTGGCCAGGTGCTAGTGCGCTCCTTCGATATTATTGTAATAGCATAAGACTCCGTGGCTCGTAGTCCCTACACTTAATTATAGCCGCACGCCTCCACGGCAGTTAGCTTACAATATTATTGTAGTCTAAAATATTGCGATTTGAAATCGTGTAACAATTTAAAGATCACACGTAAAAAGCATCAGTAACTGATGTGCAACAAATAAAAGTAAAGGGGAAAAATAAATATTGAAAGTTACACATCAATACTGCAAGAGAATCAAAACACAAGCACTGCATGGTGCTCTTGGTAATATAAATAATTTCGAATCGTTGCTTTTCAACTCTTAGTAATAATGTAGACAAAACATTCATACGCTTCTAGATTAGAATCATTTAACGCTTTTGTCATTCGACCAATAAAATTAACTAACAGTAAAGTAAAAGAGCTCGAATACAGATAAAGATAATCTGACTAACATAACTTTTGTCACTTCTACACCCATTAACCTTTTCACAGAAAAGAGAAGAAATCAAACTTCATGGATCGTTCACACATATATACAGCAGCGCTGGTGATGGTTATATATTAAATAGTTGAAATTGTCCCCTTCTAGTTCTAATCTGCCGGACTGGTTATCACTCTAGTCATGATTATTGGTTGAAAACTTGAACCACCTACATTTCTTGCATTCCTTCACATTTCTGGTCAAATCATTTAAATTTCAGCATATTAAAATTTCCACTGTAGTATACTGAGTGACATTACACTTTCTTTTTAAACACCAAAAGCAGCTGCAATATGTGGACTTAATTAAACTAACGAGTTAAATCGATGCAAACGCATGTTAACGTATAAATGAAGTTTTCTAGATGGAATGAATATTAGTGGCAATAAAGGAAGCTAGGGCTATATATATAATAAACACCTAGACACTCTAACGGTTAACACATCGGGAAAACGGGAAAATAGTGCTATTTCACGGCAATATTATTCTACTTTTTATGCGGTTCTAGACTAAGTTCATGGTATTGCATTATAATTTTTAAGCAGCATTCTTTGCTCTCTAATACCCCTTTTATACTGGGGGTTATCCCGCTTCAGGTCCGGACCTGAATTGGGATAACCCCCACTCCCCAGTATAAAAGGCGAAACATACTTAGCCCGAGCTAAAGTTATGCCGCTCTAGGAGGTGGTTCAGGTCCGCTTCAGACCCGAGCTAACGTCAGTATAAAAGGACTTTAGCTCGCTCTAAATTCAGTGGAATTTTTACCCCATTTATACCCCTTTTATACTGCGCACGACTTTAGTCCTCTTCCGAAGCAGGATAACTTTAGCTCGGGATAAGTCGTTTCATACTGCGCACGACTTTAGCCCGCTTCTGAAGCGGGATAACTTTAGCTCGGGATAACTTTAGCTCGGGATAAGTCGTTTCATACTGACGTTTATGTGTTTGAGTGTTGGTTTTGTGGGTTTGTGGGTTGTGAACATGCACGTTATCAGTTGCACTTCGCGCTAGGTGCGGCTGGGCTGGTAGATCTATACAAACACCGCAACCACAGGCTAATAGGCCGTGCCGCACACCCAGCTCATTTTACAAACGCGTTTGTTTCCGATGATCGAATTTTCATGCGCTGTGACGGGGTTGGCCTTGGCGGGCGGTTTGGTCCGCCCCGCTGGCAGCTGACGCGCCTGCCGCTGACGCGGACAACTTGTGCCCGTGCTGCGCGTTCATTTGTAGAACAATTTTTATCCGGTTTGACTTCGCCCAAATCGAACACCACTTTTTGATTTTGAAAGCCAGATGTATAGCCGAGAGCCGGATTTAAAAGGGCCGTTCCTCGGACGGAACCAGCGCTACAGGTACGTGCGACAGCCACGTCTCAAGGGTTGGCGCGAAGCAAGTTATGCGATCGAAAGCGATGTAATGGTGTGGCGGCGGCTAAACATGCGGCCTCATCGGCTCATCGTTCAAAATCAAACATGAGTTTTGACTTGGGAACGATCACCCGATAATAAAATCCGTCTACCAAATGAACGCGCCACCTCACAGTCGCTTTCATCGGCCTTCATCGCTGTTCATACGCTTCCATTCGTTTTAAAATCGGCTGGGTGCGGTCCGCGCTAGGGGGCAACCCACAGTCCTCCTCCACCTGCACGCTTCGCACTCCGCGAATATATCTATCATCATTCTACAATCCTATCAATCTATCTATCCATCTATCTGATCTGATCTACTTTCCCGTAAGCACGACGCCAGGCACAACAAGCAGCGAACGGAAGCCCAGCAAGGCAATGGTTGTTCTAAGTATAATTATTAAGAATTCTAGTACAAGTCTAAATTGTTCCAGCAAATAGGTACAATTAATGCGAAGGGCGTGGGGTACACCCACTTCAACATATAGTCCGATTTGCCGAAAAGTTTGAAGAGCAAAAATAATGCATTACAGGTATTTACGAGGCATTTTATATAGAAATGAATGTACGTGACAGAAAATTGTATAGTTAGTCAACAAGATTTTGGTATAGCTTTGTGTATAGATTTAATAGATTTTGGTATGGCGCGGAGTCTTCCGTATCAGCAATATTTTATTATATTATTATTCTACCTTGTCCTTTTTACTGGCATCTTTTGGGTTGCGCTCTAATAACTGTTGAGTCAGATGATCGAAGAATTTAGCACAAACAACGTATTTCTCAACTAATATATCGGCTCTAGGGAATATTAACGATAGACCCAACCTACATTTTGGTGTCCCCTCGCCCCGCCCATGTCTGTCCACACTTAAACACCACGTCTGGGGAAAATACATACATAACATCATGCAACTGTAGTTGGCAATAAAGGTCGCGGTGTGACCCTCGGTAATGCTCACGTATAGTCGCCATTTGCTGACCACGTCCCTGTTACACTTTCAGCTAGAGCACGCGTGGCTAGCTTCGATAGGCTTTATTCAGGAGTCCCTTGCGCTTCCCCACGCCTATATATCAACTACACATCGAGCCATGTAACCATCCGGCCCTATCCACTCTCGTTAAATTAATGAATTAATTAATCTAATTACATTTACTAATTAATTAATTAATAAAAATTCCAGATAGGTCAGAGAAATGGGGTAACTTAAGAATTGATATACATTTTGGTCGGTGAAGCCGATCCCATTCAAATTATTTTTTCCACTTAAATTAAGTTAATAAAAAAGTTTCACATTGAGAGAATTACAGCTGTCCCTGGCGGAGGTCCTGTGCTCTCCGAGTGCTCTAAGTGTTTATATTAACAACCTGCGAGTGTTCTATAGACATGTTAGGCCCTACTGTAGACTACTTGCTGTTCAGCAAAGCAATACCAGTAACTATACAGAAGCAGTTGAGAAACATATAGATAATCGTTTAGTAAATGTCACTGTCGCTGGATGCGTGTCTGTTACCTGCTCTTTGTCAGTTGGCCACTAAATACGCTGCTGCTGTGACAGCCAATTTGATATCAACCACCACTTACTATATCATCGTTTAACGTCCTCGTTGCTGACCAGATAACCCCTTAAATGTGGTTACTTCATATAGCCTGTGACACTCCATCATTCAC